CCTGCCTTTTCCACCTCTCACCCAGGGGGCAAGCACTATGGGCAGTCTATCTGAAGTGTACCTGGCGTATAAGACGACCCCCCACTTGGAGGCATATTTTTCAGGGCCAAAAAATCGTCTTATACGCCGGCAAATACAGTAGACATTTTAATATTTTCTTACTGTACACCCTAATGAATCATATCATACATTTCCTAGGATCTCCTACTTCACATACTTCTTTTTACATGAAGACCCTTAGAGAAGTGTAAGGGGAGAAAGTACAGATTCATTAAATGGTACTAAGATAAATAAGCAATAAGAAATTAAAGTATTGTTATAAAGGGAAAATATTTGATCTATCCTTTTCTTTCTCTTCTCCTTTTTTCCCTCTCACATACACATACGTACAAATAAATTCCAACTGGATTAAAGTCAAAATATGAAAAGCAGTTTTTCATAAAATATATAAATTTAAAAAAAACCATGATCTCAAAGATGGGGGGAGTTTCTTAAAAATGACACTTTTACAATAATTCAAAAGAATATATGTAAGATATGGAAGCAACCCAAGTGCCCATCAACAGATCAGTGGATAAAAAGCCGTGGTACAAATATACAGTGGAATATTACTCAGCCATAAAAAAGAATGAAATCTTACCACTTGTGATAACATGAATGGCCTGGAGGGTATTATGCTAAGTGAAATAAGTCAGTCAGAGAAAGATAAATACCAGATGATTTCACTTGTATGTGGAATCTAAAGAGTAAAATAATTGAACAAAATTGACACAGACTCATGGATACAGAGAACAGACAAATGATAGTCAGAGGGAAGCAGGGTTGGACTCAGTGAAGAAGTTGAAGGGATTGAGAAGTACAAATTGGTAGTTATAAAACAGTCATGGGATGTAAAGTACATCATAGGAAATATACTAGTAGTCAATAAGATTATAATAGGTAGATACTTTAAATATTTGGGAGACCACTTTGTAAAGTATGATTGTCTAACCACTATGCTGTAAACCTAAAACTAACACAAAATAACATTGAGTATAAACTGTAATTGAAAAATAAAATTTAAAAAATAAACATACCACATATGAAATTTAAAGGCAAAATTATAGACTTGAAGATATTTATACCTCATAAAATCAACAAAGAATTAGAATCCTGATGTACTTAAAGGACTTGCACAAATTAGTAAGAAAAAGAAAAACAATCCAACAGAGAAAGGACAAATGAATGGAATAGGTTATTTCTTGAAGAAACTACGTCAGGAATAAACAAAGAAATGCAAATTAAGACATACATCATTTCGTGCCCTAATGGCCAAAATTATATAGTGCCACCATACAAAGTGTGAGTGAGAATACAGATGCAAATGTGGATTTTGACCACTTTGGCAAACAATTCCATAATAACCTTAACGAAGTTAAAAAGTTCATTTTCCAAATACAAAGTAAATTAACACAATATAAAAGTGGATTATTTTTAGGTGCACTATTTAAGAACAGAAGTTTAGACGTTTCAAAACAACACATTTTAAAGAATTATTTGAACACAGTCTCACCTAAACCTACATAAACTGTAGATTATGAAAATTAGGCAAAATTCAAGTAATTCTGATGATTACTTCGGTGATACACAGAATATTAAAACCATGATTTTGATGTTTAAGAACTCACCAGAAGTTTTTGTTTTCCCATCATCAATACCAATAGCTAGTGATTCCATCATATCAGCTTTTCTTCTGTGAAATTCAGATGGATGCATTCTTCCACTATTTACTTCTCTCTCCAAACTTCGTAGTAGCTGCTGTTTGTACCCTCCAGAATTATCTAAACCATATTGTCGCTATTGAATATAAAACAAATAACTTAATTTTTTATGTCCCTTTACCTTGGTGAGGAAGGAAACTTACCATAATTTCATTTATCTGGAAATGCATTTTGAAACAGTTTGGTTTACAGACTTTTATAAAAGTCAATTTAAAGATTTTTATGAGAAATAAATCACACGCATACAAAATCGCTGAATTAATAAAAAGCTTACTCTATAAACAACCATCATGGCAAGAGACTTGCTTTTCTTGTGGTAGAGAATCCTGTTTTCCTACTAAAAGTACAAGGCAGACGAGTTCTAAACACACTGATCATTTTTGCAAGGAAACCTGTCAGTACTTGTTATTTGGTTCCCAAGCTAGTCTACAAAGGCCTACTTAATTCATAATGCATTCATTATACTTAGTAAATGAACTATGTTTTTGCATAGGGAACAGAGAATCTCAAATAATGTGTATAAAAAGGCCTTCTTGGAAAAAGTTTCTGAGATCTAAACAACTAATTTGCAAAGGGAATAACAAATTCCCTTTAATATTGGAAGCTTCTTGTATTTATAATGTGCAAAATTACATAAGGCAAGAAGAGTTGTGAAAAGCCAACTTTCTTTTCTCTTCTGAATCCTGGTGGGAAAATATTTTGCAAGTAAATAAATCACCAATGAGAAAAATAGCCAAAATCAGATATCCTAAGGTGAGAATTAAATTTTCTCCCATATTGCCATGTGTGAGATGCCTGAGAAAAAAGTGAGAGGTCATAGAAGTTTGGGAAAATTATGATATGCACAATGCACAATAAAAGGATTTGCTATGTCCTAAGTATATAACCCGTTCTTTTATTTTTCAATTGCAGCTTATATTCAATATTATTCTGTCTTAGTTTCAGGTGTATAGCATAGTGGTTAGACAATGTATACTTTACAAAGTGTTCCCTCTGATATTTCAAGTACCCACATGGCACCATATATTATGAATCTTGGTTTCTTAATTTGCCCCATCAACTTAACCATGGGTTTGAATCCAAGCTTTTCATTTAATACTGCCTGATCCTGAGCAAGTTAAGCTACTTAAAAAAAAAAGGTTTAAAATAATTTCTCCAGAGAGATGAGTTGTTGTGAAGATTTTGGGATATGATGTGAGGTGCTTACCCCAGTACATGACCAGAATGAGTACTTACAAGTGGTGGCTGTTAGGAACTATAAAATACATGTTAAAAAATATTTAGTATAATAACAAGGACAAAAGCAATAGGCTGAAGTCTTGACAGCATACCTGAAAATTAAGAATTCTACCAAACCAAAATATCAAAATATAATAATTTATGTACCTGCAGCTTCTGAAATTCTTCCCTTTCTTGTCTTGATTCTTCAGATCTCTTTCTGTCTTCTTCTTCTTGAAGGTGGTGAGCCAATTCTAGGTCTCTAGAACATTGGACTCTATCCATGCCTATCAGATATTTTTAGTGTTTAGAATAAAATAATTACTGAAATCAAAGCTCATTTATTACATGTTAATATATATATATATTTTAAAAAGGAGTAATTGCTATTATTTTGCCATTTGTTCGTGCCTATGATGTCACAGAAATCAAAAGTACAAAGTTAGCAGAATTTAAACTACTTTTGTAAGAGAATAGCCTCCATTTAAATCACTAACATTCACTGAGTGTTTAGGTTGAGACAAGGACTTTCCATTTATTATCTCATTTGGAACCTTATAACAACTTTAGGAAGATAGGTATTATTATCTTCTGAAGAAACCCAAACTTAGAGAAATTAGCCACATCATTCATAACTTTAGGAAGATAGGTATTATTATCTTCTGAAGAAACCCAAACTTAGAGAAATTAGCCACATCATTCATAACTTTAGGAAGATAGGTATTATTATCTTCTGAAGAAACCCAAACTTAGAGAAATTAGCCACATCATTCATTGGTTTTCTTTATTAACACAAATCAAATAGATTGGTTTAAAAAAAACCTGGGAAGGAAATAATAAAGAGCATAAAAATATGTTTGCAAAATACAGTTATTAGATTACACAGATATTAATTATAGTACAACTTTTTGCCCTGTCTCCCCTCTATCCAGTGTTCCCCAGATCCATTAGCCATTGGCTTTTAGCCAGTATCTTATCTTCTTGATCCCCCAATTTGGTGATTTAATAATGTATTTGACTATTCTTTCTTTCCTTTTCAATCTCTCAAGCCTCCACTACATCTTCCTATTTGGTCCACACTTCTATTGTTGGAGATATGCAATTTACAACGGACTTCTAGTGTACTTCTGAGGCTATCTACAGTGATATACTCAGACCATATCTTTCAGGCTGACAGAATAATTTATACACCAATACAAAAACTATTCATAAACAAAGTAAGAATTATCAGATACTCAGCTCCAGAGGGTTATTCTTCCATGACAGTTAGTAAAGAACAGAGTAGAAAACTGTTCCATCTTTTCTACACTCATTCTCATCTTGGGATTAGTCTGAGTGAGCAGGTAATGCTGTCTGTCCATGGAGATAATTGACTGGTACTAGGATCAATGACACTGGATACTCAGGCCCCGGCATTAACAGGTGGTATCTATGTACCTTAAAAAACTAAAATTCATTAAAATACAGTTGGTTTCTCTTAGGGTTTATGTTATATTTTGTTTCAGTAGGACTGTGCAAGTCATATAGGATATTTCCACTTCTAAGTCACCATAGTGATTATTAAATAATACCACATAAAAAGAATAGGGCACAGAGGAAAACTTTCATGTCACTTATAAAACTAGTAAGTGGTAATGTAAAAAGCTGGGCTAGCAGCTAGAAAGGCACTTGAAAAACTTTTTAGTCACATAGCTCACATTCTTTTTAAAAATTGTGTTATATGGCAGCATCCTAGTTCACCAACAACTTTGGCTGACCAAATGTTAAATTCAGTTACTTCTAAACTGCTGAAAAAATGGCCTCAACTTACAAATCAGCTGCCTAATATTTCACTGTCTTCTAAATATTGGTACTCTGAGGCAAAACCCTGGATGCACACCTCTAACTCAGTTGGTCACAACAGTTTATTCTTCACAATTTTTCTGTAAAAAAAACAACAACAAAAAAACTTTTTAGCCCAGCCAGCATGCCTCAGTGGTTGAGCATCGACCTATGAACGAGGAGGTCACAGTTCAATACCTGGTCAGGGCACATGCCCAGGTTGCGGGCTCAGTCCCCAGTGTGGGGGTGTGCAGGAGGCAGCCAATCAATGATTCTTTCTCATCGTTGATGTTTCTATCTCTCTCTCCTCCCTCTCCCTTCCTCTCTGAAATCAATAAAAATATATTTAAAACAAATAAAAAACCACCCCAACCTCTTTTAAAAAGTTGGAACTAGATTTGAATTCTTTAAAGGGACAGACTTATTTTTGACCAGTATGCTTTTTTTCTCTCTATATCACTAATCTAAAAATTAGATATGTGTTCTAGGAAGTGGAAATTAAATAATGACATTCTTATTTTTAAACATATAAACATACCTTGTCTAAAGCTGCTTTCTTCCAAATGCAAGTCAACATGTTCCTGGAGAATATGGTAATTTGTACAGGTGAGCCCACACATAGGGCAGTCGTACAATGGTTGATCACAGTCTGTATTAGAGATATAATTCAATTGGTTTTATTTAGAAAACTTTTAGATCTTCACCCCAAGTCAAAGACTGTTTGGTTTCTTGCCAAAAAATTTCTACAACTTGAAATGTCAAGTGTTTGAATGTTCCTTCTATGTGAGGGTTTGAAGCCACACTTTAAATGATATAAATTTACAGACATGCCCCAGCATACTCTCTTTTCCTACTTCCATCTTCTTTTAACCAGCACATAAGAGAAAATTTAAAAACAAAAAGGAAAAATTTGATGCAGCATATGCATACTCAGTTTAGGAAAGAACTTGGAAATGTTTAATTATATTATCTGTATGATAATAAAGCTACAGAGCCAGCCAAGATAAGCTAGAACACTAAGTATTTTTCTTTCAGTTTTGAGATATAACTGACATACTGTACTGTATAAGTTTAAGGTGTACAGCATAATGACTTGAATTACACATATTGTAAAATGATTAATAAATTTAGTTAGTATCCATATCATATAGAAATGAGAAAAAAAATTTTTTCCCCAGGTGATGAGAACTTTCAGGATTTACGCTTACTCTTGCTAAAGAGTAAATATACAGACGTGTTAGCTCTAGTCATCATATTGTATATCACTTCCTCAGAGCTCATTAAATATCTTATAACTGAAAGTTTGTTCCTTTGGCCACACTTGTTTTTTTATGTCTGACTTATTTCACTTAGCGTAATGCCATCAAGGTCCACTCAGGTAGATACAAATGGCAGGGTTTCCTTTTCATGGCTAATATCCTACATGAGTTTGGTGTTTTATTTTTTAGATTCCATATATAAGTGAGATTATACAGTAGTTTGTTTTTTATGTCTGACTTATTTCACTTAGTGTAATGCCATCAAGGTCCACTCAGATAGATACAAACGGCAGGGTTTCCTTTTCATGGCTAATATCCTACTGTATATATAGGGTGTCCATAAAAAATGTATACACACTCTTTGAATAATTATAAAGGCAGTGTTTATTAAAATACAACTCATGCCCTAGCTGGTTTGGCTCAGTGGCTACAGCGTCAGCTCTCAGACTTAAGGGTCCTGGGTTTGATTCCAATCAAGGACACATACAGGCTCGATCCTCGGTCAGAGAGCACGTGCGGAGGCAACCAATCAATGTCTCTCTCACATCGATGTTTCTTTCTGTTTCTCCCC